AAAAAAAAAAAAAAAAAGAGAAAAGCAAACGAACAAATACATAAGTCAATAAACAACAAACAGAACAATAAAAATAGTCAAAAATATTATTGACAATAAAATAAAGTGAAAAAACAACAACAAAAAAAAACAGTCTTTAATCTGCTATTTCTTCTAATTCCTATTAATAAAAAAAAACAATTAAAATTTTAAATATATTAATACGTTGAAACAAAAATTGTCAAAAAATAGACACAAAAAAAAACATATCTTTTAAAACAACAATAATTATCAGCAAAATTGAAAGGCTAAATAAAAAAAAAAAAACAAAACGAAGAAAAATTTAAACAACAATTTGATAATATGTTTATGAAAAAAATTCATTAACACCTATAAGCCAAAATTATTGCATAAGTCTAAGATGACAAAACAATTGCTGCTATTATAAATATGAAAGACATAAAGTGTTGTACAAAAATGATGCTCTTTGAAAGTATCAATGCTGTCGCCATATTTGGTGTTCGATCGCTACTGTTTTCCGCAATTTCTGTAAGAAGAAAGATCCAAATAATCCAAGAAAAAAAGTTGAAAAATTAAGTGAAGTAAAATTGAAATAAAGCTGTAATGATCGGTTGTTATAATATTAACTAATATAACAATAACAAAAATTATATCTATTTATCAAAGTTATCAGGTCATTATTTTCGTCAACTGAATAAGCATTAATGTTGTTGATCAATGAATGTGGTTTCAAACACTGTTGTTGGCAAATTTTACAAATTTTTAGTAACTGTATAGATACCTGAATTAATAAATTGATAATGTGCATAGAAACCATAACCGTCAAACATTGAATTGGATTTGAATGTCATCCGAAAATAATTGGATTCACTGCGAATTGGTTGAAGCGGTTTCAGTTGTCCACAAAACTTCCGATTTGTTCGATCATCAGTTTGATAATTACTGAACAGCACATAATCACTGCTTTCATCTTCACATCTGAAAAAAAAGAAGCCATCGCTACAT